ATCCCATGAAACTTAGCTCTAATACCATGTTAAACAATCCAAAGGAGAAAAAGAGGCTAGGGTTTTATTGATTCTGCATAATGTAATTGAATGAATAAAACCTAGATACAAAGAGACTATATATAGTCTAAAATAAAGGAGACTATTCTACCTTAATAAATAATAAAAACAAAATAATCATATATTTCTTAACACGTATGTTTTTCACTAAAAAAATATTTTCCATCACATTAATAAATTTTCCTTCTTTTTCGACACATATTCCCCATCACATCAACAAAAAAAAAAAAAACATTTTTGTAGTAAAAATGTGCACCAAACAGGGGCTAATTTTCGTCATTCTCGAAATTTATTTTCATTATTAATTTTTTCACAACAACATTATTGAACACATTGTTAAATTTTGTAAAATTATGTTACTCACATTTCATCACCGTCGCTGCTACCATCACCTGTGTATGACACGTTTGGTTCTACTGCCATAAAATGTATGTATTGATTATAAAAAGGATATTCCATTATTTGGCTAATTATTCTTTGTCAATTAACTAATCCCCTGTTTGGTGGACATTTTTGTGGAGAGAATGCATTTTTTTTGTTGAAATGATGGAGAATATATGGTTAAAAAAAAGGAAAAATTATTAATATGATGGAAAATATTTTATTGAAAAATAGGCAATTAAAAATAAGTAGAAAAATGAAAATAAAAAATATAATATGACTCAAACTGGACTAATTATTGCCCTACGAAAAAGGGTCATGTCTTCAAATATAAATTTCTTTTTACCTCTCAAAACCCAAAGATGGGCTCGAGTTGTTTAGCCGAAGAACTATGACATGTCACCAAGCTAAAGACCCTGTCAACTCCAATTCTAGATTATCAACCCTCTTGTGCATGACTTAATATCACATTCTCCTTCCATGTAATCCTGATCAATGTGACACATAATGACAATGAGCTAAACTTACGTTCTAGAGTTGTAGATTAAGAGACATTATACCTACAACCTAAAAATTAATAGTGAGCTATGAATGTCAATGGATATAAAGGATAGTGATTTACTCTCTTCCTTTTGTTACTGAGAATGTGTTTGATTACGAGCATGAAACTGTATAGAAAGAAAATAAAGCAAATTGCCTAGAAATTATTTGTATGAAAATTATTAATTAAATGTATTTGATTGTTTTAGTTTTCAACGTAGAAAATATTATACTTCTTCGATTTTTATTGGTGGATAGATGAGAGAGGAATAAAAAGAGTAAATTACCTGAAGAATAAAAATCACATTTAAAAAAAAAAATTCCTTATTTTCAAGGAAAATATGGTCACATGACTAAAAGTAGGAAAATATATATATTTTTTGAAAAGAATTATCAATCAAACAGCACAAAAGTAGGAAATCAGGTGGAAAAATCACATTTTCTATGGAAAAAATTAGCAATAAAAAACAACTCTAAAGATTTTAGCAAATCTGTAATTGCTCTTTTTAATTCCATCGCGAAGATAAAAGTAAATAAATTAACACGTCACGTAGGAAAATATCTTGCATTTATTCATCAGATATTTAATCAGATATTTAGTTCCCAAAATTGGACTGGACAAGCCTAATTTCCCACCTATAAATACTGAAATGATGTTAAAATAGATAGAAACCTAAATGAGAGAGAAAAAATGACAGGTTAAATACGTGCGTGATGACAATGTAATACACTTAAAAATTGAAGGGTATTCTTGAAAACTCAACTCAAACACCTTAGAAAAGGACAAAAATCCTACAAAAAATAGAGAAATAAAAAATTAGAAATCCCAGCGCTGCAGCCCGGTCTATCATCGAATTATTGAAATCCGTCTCTCTCTAAAACTCTTCGCTCTTCTTACCCAAATCTTGATTCGACTCTCGGGTATTTGCACATTCAGAAGATAGATGTATTAATCCGTATATATAGAGATGTATTTGCTTTTATTTGCCTGCCAACAAATGGAAATTTTGGTCAAATTTCACTCAATTTCGTTCAAATATGTCCGAGCATTTATTAGGGTTTTTTGTATATAATTACATCTGTTCTTTTATGATTTTGTATGTTTTATTGTTTAATTGGTTTTGTTAATCCGGAAAGTTCGGATTTTTGATGAGTTTTTTTTTTTGCTCTGATCGTTGTTGCTCGAAATTATACAAAAACTATTAGAGTACTCGAATCTTGGATAAAGGATGCTTATTCAGCTGCAATAGAAACCCTTGTAAACCAGTTATGTAAAGATATCATTTTGATTGAAAATTAATGTCTTAGTTAAATGAAAGCTTTTGATTGGATGAATACGTATAGCTTAGTGATGATTCTAATGTTAACCGAGTCTTATCTTTTGGATCAGAATTTCTGTTTACTTCTGGAATTCTTGAGTTTTCTGGAGTTAAATGTTTCATTGGCCACCGAACTTTACACCCATGACTTACCCACCCAACTTCACTAAGCTTTCTAATGGCGCCAAACTTAGGTCCTTTGCACTAAAATGGTCACCGGATGAATTCCGTATGTGATTGTGTCTACTTGGAGAATGGAAAGGTGTTGTGGCAATTAAAATTGTCCACGTGTTAAGAAACTTGCACATGTGGACACCAAATCAGCCGAACAAACCCTTATCCATATTAAATTAAAAACCACGGCCAGTTGTTGAAAATGAAATCAAAACCCCTTCATATAGAAGTTGAAATCGCGAGAAGACTGAACCACAATTGTGTATCTTCTACTAGCATAGCTGAGGACAACGAACCCCCTTAATCCACAGTCGATGAAGAATTTGTTGGCATACATAATCTCCTCGGGACTCCAATTTTTTGGTGGTCTATATTCTCAGGAGAGGGTGAGAAGAAAATGCTATCTTCAGTGTGATCAATCACCACTGTTGACCACGAATGGATGCTGCACTGAAATTTCTTTCCCCCACTCATTTTCAAATGGAGATGATTCTGTAGGAAAAGCGACCCAATGGTTTTGAGGCAACATGTTGGAATCTCCATAAAATCCATCCCAGCCTTGGTTGTCTATGTTACGGATGTCTTTACCCTTGCATTCCTTGCTAAAGTTCTCAACCTATCTTGGTTCTATATTGTCTAAACAGTAGCCACCTTGTTGGTTGAGGCTGGGCTTGAATTGCAGCTGGTCGTGGTTTTTAATTTGAAATGGGTTTGGGTTTGTTTGGATGATTTGGCGTCCACGTGTGCAAGTTTCTTAGTATGTGGACAAATTTAACTGCCATGTCACCTTTCTGTCCTCCACTGACACAATCATAGACGGAATCCATCCAGTTTTCATTTTAGTGCAACGGACCTAAGTTCAGTGACTATTGGGAAGCTTAGTGAAGTTGGATGGGTAAGTCGTGACAAGGTGTAAAGTTCAGGGGCCAATGAAACATTTAACTCGAGTTTTCTGTATAGACTATTTTGTCGGCATTGTTGAAACTGACATTTCAATGCATTTCTCTGAATTTGGTGATAGTTCATGTACAGAAGGTATATTTATTGTCAGCTGAAGAGGCAAGTTGGAGAAGATTTGGATCTGGAGTCGTAAATATGTATCGGCCTGGGGCTGCGACCACTACCCGAGGTGGATTACCAACAGATAGTGGAGATTCCATCGTGACACTCGACCAAGTTCCACGTTGGAGTGATGCAGAGTATAGATCCTTGTATGAGAATGAAGATCATGCTTTCCCAAATTCACATTTTCCAGACCCGTTGGCATCTGTTTCTGATGGAGGCAGTAGTGGAAGCGGTATGGTTTCTAGATTTCCTGTGGATCACGAAATCAACTTGAAGCTATATCTTTGGAGGGGAAACCCATGGAATCTCGAGGTGGATGCTGTAGTTAATTCGACAAATGAGGTGAGCAGTTATATTGTGGTAATCGTACCGGTTATATTTATCAGCATCACAGCATGAGTGCATTTATTGTGATGCTTCCTTCTGGATGCTGACACTTTCTTAATGGGAGCATTTGCATGTTTGTGCACGTAACTTTGTTTTAGAGGGATCGCGATTCCCTGTTTTATTTTAATACACGTGTTTATGAGAAACAGTGAGATTATTGGATTGACCTTTTATTTATTGAATTGAAACTATCTGCGCTGTTCTTGCCTTGGTATTGTTTGTCCTTGTAGATGAGTGGTCATAAATGTATTTCCTGCCTCCTATGTAACGATAAATCTCCGATCATGTCCCATGGGATTTCGTTCCAGGCCCTGACATGGTTCATGCGGGATTCGGTCCGTATCGCACCACACATACTGTGCACTTGGCATTGGGCATTGGGCTCCAATGTGGATTTATTTTGTGTCCCTTGCGGTTCGAACCCAAGACCAAGGGGTTCTTAAGTTGAATCCTTGTATAGTATGTGTGGTGCAGTACAGGCTAAATCCCACATGGACCATGTCGGGGTCTGATAGTGAATCCGGTTGGCCATGTTGGGGGACATATCATTACATTCTGTATATCCCATATTTTACGGCTGGTGCGGCTGTAGTGTCAATTCCATTTATGCTAATTCGGAAACAGTATGAGTCTGTACTTTACTGGCCTGTGATCTTAATGTTCATTAACCCTAACTTGACCAGAAGTAGTTTTAAGTTTTTTTCACATGGGCTTCAAAATTGAGTTTTGCTTCTTGAATTAACGCGTTGTCAGTGCATCAGATTTGGGAAAGGATCTAAAATGCGTGCTCAAGAGAGGATATGTCGATGCTGCTATCTGCTTTTGACAGATGATGATGAGCTCGTTGCCTTCTCAATGAAATCAAATGTCCTTTCCCTTTCAGTGGGGCACTGGCAAATCTGAAAAAAATAGATATATATTTGAAAGTTTTTTTTAATTTTAATTTTTGATCTTGTTATATTTTGTGTTTGAAATTTTTTTCCATAATTAAATTTTGCCCTTCCATCACTACATGCAATACCTGCTTAATTATGCCAATGAAATCTTAATTGTGCAAACTCTGGTCTGAATCATGTGATGTAGTTAAATGCACTTCAGTTCTGATGCTAATTCGTTCTCATTTTGTCCAAGTGGATTTTTTGAGATCCTTCTAGTACCCCCCCAAAAACGTTTCATTGCTCAAACCAGATGTTTTGGAGATGGCTACTTTTCCTGAATATTTCATTTTTTATGACAGAACTTAGATGAAGCACACAGCAGTCCTGGTTTGCATGCTGCAGCTGGACCTGGTCTTGCAGAAGAATGTGCTACATTAGTAAGCTACATATACATGCTCACATTTTAGTTCTGCACCATTTATATTCTGGATGCATGTAATGATTTTCAAAAGTACTACCAGTATGCATTTTGGTATAAAATTATGCAACTACTATTTACAATAGTGCGATATCTTGAAGAATTTGATCTGCTATTTAAATCCTCAAAACAAGTCTTGTTTGGAAGCCGTATGTCCAAATTTGAACTAATGCAGCAATCATTCTTCGTCTTTACAGGGTGGCTGCCGAACAGGGATGGCAAAAGTTACTCGTGCATATGACCTTCCTGCAAGGTGTGTATATCAGTTGGTTTATTAAGTGCTATGCCCATGCTATCCATGGTTGCTCCATTACTTGTGTTTCGACAACCAATAAATATATGTTGAATATTTTCCATGATAATATACTACTTAACATTATACATATTCGGATGAAGACTAATCATTTCAGTTTTTAATGTTGTAATTAATTATTTACATTCTTGGAGTAATTGATCAAGACCAGTGAGGTTGGATAGTTCTTCGAGTTATCTAACTTGTATCAATCCGATATCTGTGCTATTAGTTATGTCTCTTTTCGGGCACTGCACCATATTGTGCTCTGGTGCAGTGACCAACTAGGTTCTAAATTAAATTGACCACCTTATACTTTGATTTAAGTCCTGAAATTTTGACATGTGATGCATGTGTGTGTCACCAAGTTTCAAATCTTGTTAATTTTTGTGTCCATTTTGAGGATCAAATAAATTTTGGCGTTGCTGCTGCTGGTTGGAAACGAAACACCTAATTGGGTTTTATTAAATCCACCTCACTGCTCTTTTGTAAAAGCTTGTTTAGTTACTTCTGCAAAACAAATATTTTTACAACTTCACCAATCTAAACAATAGACCATGGTGAGGTCATAGATGTTCGAGGACGAAATTAGGAATCTGTTGGGTTGCTAGAACTTGGGGCGTTACACCTGAATGAATATATTTGGCAAATGCTTATCATATCTCGAAGAATTCACTGGTACTCGAGTGTTTTTGTGATGTAGAAACCCAGAATATCGTTTCTGCTAATTGCATCCATGTGGGATTCAGTGAGAAAAAGAAACGGGTAGCTCACCTCTATTCACTTTCACTGAAGTATTCATGTCATCAGTTATCAGTTCGTAGCAATTATAGGATATATTTGAGATTAATGTACACAGAACCTGGTACTTGTATCCTGATGCCCATAATTTGTGTTTGTTTAATAACCCCCGCATTGATAAGTTCAACATTCTTGGTTTGGAATGTGGCAGCTTTACTGCTAATGTCATTTGATGCTTTAGAAACTTGTCTCAAGATGGATAATAGTTTTAAAAAGACCTATTCACTTCTTTCTTTCTGGCAAAGAATTTAATCCATTGTTAGTTTATTTTTCTTTTGATGAGTGCAACGACACTTTAGCATTTCTTATCATTATGTAGCCAATAACATTTAATTTAGCACTAGTATTTCTTGTAATTTGCAGGAGGGTTATACATACTGTTGGTCCTAAGTATGCAGTAAAATATCATACTGCTGCAGAGAATGCTCTGAGCCACTGCTATCGGTCTTGCCTTGAACTTCTCATTGAAAATGGTCTGCAGAGGTGGTTTAATAGATGCATTGTATCCATTTAAATAGTCTTCTTCCCATGTCAATCTGTAGGAAATCTTGACTCAACACTCTTGTACAATACGAATGCAGCATTGCAATGGGCTGTATATATACAGAAGCCAAAAATTATCCTCGAGAACCCGCTGCTCATGTGGCAATAAGTAAGAGCTTTTTTATTATTTGTGCATTCAACTGACATTCTTGGTTTCTTAATTGATTATTCTTTCTTAAAGTTATATTTCATGTTTGTGTATCTGAGTAGATCCCCTTATCTACCTGCACAATGTTTGATCACTGCCCATAAGTTATGAATTTTTCTTATGGATTTCTTTTAGGTCTAATTCATGTTTTTTGGGCATGCTTGTGATGATTTCCCATTTCCATTTTTCTCCCTTTCCTCAAATCTTTTTTTGATAGGTAATCCCTTTTCCTCAAATCTAACATTTGATTTGGTAGGAACCGTGAGACGTTTTCTCGAGAAACAGAAAGAAAAAATCCAAGCAGTTGTTTTTTGCATTGAAACAGCATCTGATACTGAGATATATAAAAGGTATGTCAACTCACTAGACAGGGGATGTATGTGTTACATATAACTCCGAAACAGTTTATGGTTTTCAGATTTGTTAGCTTTATTTACAAATAAAATAATTTGTTTTAAATTGGACAATCACTTATTACTTCTCTATATAGATTGCTTCCGCTTTACTTTCCTCGGGATAAACTTGAGGAGGAGGTGGCTATTTCAAAACTTCCTGCAGATGTTGGAGATGAAAATGGTGAGACAGTCATAGATGAACGTAAAATCAGAATAAAGCCATTACCCAATGTTAAGAAGACTGGCCCGAGATTTTCCCAAGCCTCTGCTGATCTTCCAGCCGGTGATATTATTCCAGTCACTGATGTTGGGTTGACGAGGCGGTTAGTGACCTAAAATTCCTCTTCCACCTCTTCATTTTAACCGTCGTTGGTCACGCCCCAATTCGTTTGTGAAATTCTCCACATACAGCTTTGCTTAAATTTGAATATGGTCTGGCATCAAGAAAGACAAACCAAAAATGGGATTGCATGGCACTGGATAGAACATTTTCATTTTTCCTACTCTGTACAGTACCCAATGATGCCCAGTCTTCAGATACCATTGTGGTTACTTTATGTGCCTCCCTTTCATTTATTGCTGATGAGCATATTGTCATCTTTCTATCTGAGAAATTACTCATTTCGCATAGGTGAAACTACCTTATTTTGCGATTGCCACCATCCTTTGAGATGGATACAAGAAATAATTTTCGGTGGAATGTAAAAGATATATCAGGGGTTCATGGAGACAAATTTTTTGATGGAGTTTGAATTTTCCAGTCTTCATCTAACCCAGCTTGCATCCCCCACCCCTCTCCACGTGTGTAGTGCAGAGTGATTTCCTATGGGCCTTGCTAACGCATTGCATCAAAACAACACTGAAGTTTCCTTGGTTCATGACACTTCATTCGATCTGACATTGCTTTCTTATTTTTTTCATTGTCTAATGCATATTTTTATCTATTTCTACGACAAATCTGTTGGTGATTAAGTTTCCACAAGTTCTAGTGTCAATTGTATAGCTCTGGTGTAGAAGCTTCTCTTTGTTTATATACTTAATGAAATCCACTGAAGTTGGACTAAAATCTGACTGTTGTTTACATTCAACAGGAACTCATCATACTTGGATTCATATCTGGATCCTGCATTTATGTCCTTGATCAAAGATCCAGATCAGCGACGCAAAGAACGATGGGAAAAAGCTGCACAAGCACGAAGTGGATGGAATTTTGCTAAAATGCTTGGATATGGTGACCTTGGGGGCCCTCCTTTATCTGCTGCTGAAGAATACTCACTTCATTCTCGATATCTATCTAAAGCAAATTCACTTAATCTCTCTGAAATTGCTGAAATGAAAATTGTGTAAGCCAGCTATGTACTTCTCTGTTTGTGTTTTTGCATGCAATACACTTAATTTTTCCTTTGCTTCCTCGATGCGTAGAGTAAAAATATTTTCTAGAACTTGTATATTTTTAATTCTTAAACTTAACTTTTTACTCCTGCACTCTTTGACATCATCTTTGTAACTATCATATAGCAAAATTTGCTTAAAAATTGAAATCAATTGTAAATTGTTAAACTAGATGCTCATTGTTATGATATATTTCTTCCATGTGCTCATCAATTTTGCTGATATGAAGTTTTTGAAGGAAACTATTTTGAATACTTGTTGTGGTCTAATTTGGCTGAGAATGTGATTTTTTATGTGCTATATCTTATGATACTTTAGAATACAGTGAACTGGCTAAACTTAAATATGTCTAGCAAAATCTCGTAGGGCTTGCAGGCTGCATTCCTTTTCTTCGTAACTTTAGGAATCTTCACGAGACCCTCCACCTATGTAAGTCTGCAACAAATGTGAAGTTTAATCACTTTCGTGGGCCTGCATTGAGGCACTTTTTCATAATTTTAAAAATGGGTGGATTTTCTATAGGAGTCTTGGAGAAAAATTGACTTCTGCACTTAAACTTTGGCATCCAAAAGTTCGATGTACTTTCTACATTTATGTTTGATTTTATAAATCAGCAACAGCGAATTAATTGTGTTGATTTCCAAAAGTTAAAGTTTACCACTTATTTCTGTTTCAGCTACCGAGGTGGGGTTGACAGTGAAGGTCATCCGGTGATGGTTGTTGTGGGAGCTCACTTTCTGCTAAGATGTCTTGATCTAGAGCGGTTTGTGTTGTATGTTGTAAAGGTGAACAATTACAAGCATTTCAAAAAATATTTCGTAATTTCTATATATGTACTACTATATTTTTCATGGCCTTGCTCCCATTTTTCTTGAACCTGCACTTATGTTATTGCAACAGATAATTATATTTAATTTGCATTTTCAGGAGTTTGAGCCTTTGATACAGAAGCCTTATTCTATTGTCTATTTCCACTCCGCAGCATCATTACAGGCGTGAGTTTAGTGTCCTTGCCATCTTTTGCCCCTGGCGTCATATTCCCTATTCTGTTTTATTGGTTCTTTGATCTAAAAAACTTTATTTTTCTCTAATTCGTTTGTGCAATCTGGAAGAATACATTAAGGAAAGATGGATGAATTTTTGTGCTGTTATGGCTGGCACTAAATAAAGTTTTTGTGACTTTCACTCTCCATATTTTAGGGTGTTTTAACAGATGGTAGCATGCTTGGCTAAGCTTAAAAAATAGAAGTTACTTTAAGTAACGTTTTGTTTACAAACATGGTTGGATATGTTAATTTTTTCAAAAAGAAGGTAAATATTTCTTGCTGTCAAATTAGTAATTTGATTATTTCAGCTTTTAAACAAAATAAAAAATTATTATTGCGAAACAGATTTATTTACTTGTAAGCAAATTTATAAGTAAATTTTTTTGTGCTTAACACAGATGCTTTTGGTGTGAAGTTTCCTACCAGAAATTATGAAGTTTGGCTTACTTCTAATTTCTGATTTGCATAAACAGGCAACCAGATCTGGGATGGATGAAGAGATTACAGCAAATACTTGGCCGAAAACACCAGCGTAATTTGCATGTATGTCGTGCAAGATTCTTCCTCCAACCACCACTGTCCACACTATGGCCTATGATTATCTGTGCAATTACCTATCTTTTGTTTATTAATCTCTTTTTTCATGGTGTAGGCGATTTATGTTCTCCATCCTACCTTTGGGCTGAAATCTGCAATTCTTGCACTGCAAATGTTTGTGGATGACGTGGTATGACCGATGCCAGTAAAAAATATAAGAAATCTAAATTCTGAGTAACTTTGTATCTTTCTCCATAGCTTATGATATTTTTTTAACTGATTTTAGGTATGGAAGAAGGTGATATACGTTGATCGTCTTCTACAACTATTCAAATATGTCCCCCGAGAGCAATTAACTATTCCAGATTTTGTGTTCCAGTTGAGTTTTCACACTTCTGATTAATCATTTTCATTGTTTGTTTTAATAATGTATGCAATTTCTATTACCGATAGGCCGTGAGGGTTTATGATGGCCATGTCTGTAACTACCGGCTGATATAACCTTTGGTGTTTCCATGTTCATCCCTCTGAATTCATACAGTGGCATGATATCGAATTTCGTCTCCTGAAATTTGGAAGGCCCTTTTAACTTATCCCTAAATAACATTGATGCAGGCATGATTTAGAAGTAAATGGAGGGAAGGGCCTTATCGTCGATCCAAGGACAAAATATGTCTATCAAAGACCATAGATATGGTATAAAAGCAGTCGTCTGAAATTCAGCTCTTCTGCCAAGAAACTTGAGTATGTGGTTAGAGCTGTTCTTTTCATGCATTTCATTTACAGTCAACAGGATCAGGTTGTAATCGGTTTTTATTGTGTACTAGTCTCCATCTTTTCCTTTGTTTGAAGTATGTTATAGGGTTTGTGCGTGATTATGGAAATATTTTTTCTTATTTTTCATTTATCGATATTTGTTGTATGTATCGTTGTCTATAATAAGTTATTAGTATTTTTTTGGTGCAAATGGTCCCTAATCTATACCCTGTGTGCAATCTCAGCCTCTGTTCTTTTAGTGCATACTTTGTCCAATATCATGGTTGGTTTTGCGCATGAGAGTCCTTGTATTGGAGAGAAGGCTGGTACATGTAAACCCCTTTTTTCCTTTCATGTAGTTTAGAGAAAATGAAAATCATTTTTTGTCAATGAGATACTCAAAACGTTTCATTTAGGTACACACGACGCAAATTCTTTCATGGATGACCATCTCTCAAAACTGCGGGAAATCTCTCCTTTTCTTCAACAATCTTTGCAAATTAGCTGCACTATCACCTACTGCTTCTATACAAAGAATACTTCGAAAATTGTGGATCTTTTCAAAGGTTTCTCGAGTTAAAATGGGTTTTCTGGGTTTCTATTGTTTTTGGCCTATGTTGATGATGATCAACAAAACCAGTTCTCAGAATACATACTAAAAATAAACACAAGAATAACACAAGCAGCAAAAAGAGAAAAATAAAAATTCATTGTTAATGAATATAATATTTTGTAATAAAATAAATTTTTTTTTTTTATCATTTCACTTTTTTTGAAGGAAAACAATCCACGTTTCTCAAATTCCATTCATTGCACTTGGCTTGCCATTACTTGAAAATGTGTAATGGATGAGTTTAAGTGCGTAATACTGTAATAGATGGACCCATTTTGTTGTGACTCTTATTATTTAACTATACACTCAATTTTTTAAATAAATAAAACCAATGTACATTATGATACTAATGCTGCCCCATACACGATGCGTGTCTGCTAGATGTTGACTACTCTTCGGATGTATTCAAGTATAGTTTTGTGTCTCCTAAGAGTTCTCGAGGAGGGTCTGGCGGCCTGACCTAAATTTCGCATGTTCAGTAAAGCAAGTCATGTTAGATATGATAGTATGAGTTTGGGACATTATGTCGTTTTTTTCATGCATATTCGACAAAGCTTAAATTATGATTAAAATTGATCGAAATATTTTTTACTTTATAACCTCACCAAGCCAACAAGCAAGGGAATGAAAAATGAGGGGGCATCATATTTATTATTTTAAAAAATTTTATCCTTTAACAAGTTTGGAAGAATGAGATGAATATGAATTTGGTGGTCAATCAAATTATTTAGAAGCAATATTTTTTTTTAACTAATTTTATATTCACGAGCTAAGTATCAATCAAAATTAATGTTAAATGATGTCGCTGGTGGAATTGTCTGATTAACATGGGAGAAAACGTTCCAGCTTTAACTTGTCGCCATGGGACACGTGTCAGGTAAAGGCGTGGTCAATATAGCCGTTTGTTCCATTGTTCTTACTCGGTAGATTCAGTCCACGTACAACAATCATACACTATAAATCGTTAACAATTGTGTTACACAAGCAAGCTCAAACGTATGTTTAAAAATAAGAGACACGTATCGATACATGATTGAACGATTTGAAAAAAAAGAGATGCTTGATGTACAACACAGATTTACACCAAGTTACACAGTTCTCTCACAACAATATTGGTTTATAATCGTGGGACCCACGATTGTGAGAGAGTTGTGTACAACTGTACAATAATACTGTACAAACAGTTTTTTCCTTGAAAAAAAATAAAAACACAACGTACAATTATTATATGTCATGTCATCTTGTCCATTCATCTCTATTCTTAAGCATGCCCCAAGAAATAATTGGCAACGTTAATAGCCACCGGAATCGCTCCCATGTTTCACCGTCCAGAATTACTGTTTTTTTTTCAAACACTAAACACGTTTTTATTTTATGATAGGCTAAATATATTTGTACCAATATTTAATGGCAAGTATACATTTTAATTGCACAAAAAATTCACAATCTTTACACATTATTACATTTATATTTCGAAAACAAAATTCATTGCATTCGTGTTTTCAAATTAATATTAATTATTTCTGATTATGAAAAATGCTTTATAGCACCAACCGTGTTAAAGACTCAATGCGATGTAGAATTAAGTGATTTATGATATATTTCTTTTGATGGCATATTAGTCATACCTAGACTGATATTTTGACACTGACGATGCTAAGTAGCATTACTCTATTGATTATGATTCTTTAAGATAGAATAAAAAGAACCATTCGTCCACTTTATTTTAAATAAGGAAAATAATTTACAATGCAAAAATGACATTAAATATTTGACATTCATTTTAAAGTACATTAACATTATTCTTGGACAAAAACAACAATCAAGAACAAGATTTTCTGATCAACGAAATGTTAAAAATGAGAATGCGGTGAAGAAAAAAATTAAAAATATAAGTGTAATAATGAATAAATGTTAATTGCCTTTAATGAAATTAAAATACGATGTATTTATAGAAAAATGCGATGAGAATATAATTTTTATAATAAATTGTAACTAGTAAGATCCGGTACAATTTTTATTTTATTCTCTTTAAGCCCCCGTTCGTTTCTCTTTAAAAAATAATTATTTTAATTTTCATATTTATTTGCAACCGCACATTTATATAATAAAATATTTTACACGTAAATTTAAAATTTTATTCTAATTTTTAACGACACATTTTCAAAAAATCACATCATCATTTTTTCACGTGCTAAATAACCAGCTATTCCAGTTACCAGTGAATGTGAATATTCAGACTCCTTCCAATCATTCGCAGCCCATATAAATACCCCCTTTGCGTCGCCTACACTTTCTGCAATTTTCCTTTACACCTTAAAGTCTTAAACACCTGCCCTTAGTTTTTCTTGTATTTACTAGAATACCCTTCAGCTTATATATATGTCCGCTCCCGGCAACCTGGAATCTGAGAGCCTCCTCTCCTCCGCCGCTCCTGGCTTCCCCTGCCTCCGTTTCTTCCGCTACCGCCGCCTCAGGTAATTATTTACTATACGCCGGAATATATATACATATATATACAAATTTCCAAATGCCGTCGCCGAAGATTAATCGGAAAGGGAGCAACGAGAAGAACAAGAAGGGAAGGTTATCTGAAAAGGCATCGTCGTTTCATGGGAAAAACAGCGGTGTAGTGGAGGAGATGCTGCCGAGGCCAAGAACGGTGACGGAGTTACTGGTTAGGAAAAAAGATGTTGTGAGTTCAACTGAATTGGGGTTGGCGCAGGGGAAGCCGACGCTTACGAAGCTGCTTCTTAATGTCACGATACAGAGAAGCCTCGGAGCCGTACAGGTGTTGATGTCGCCGGATGCAACGGTGGATGACTTGATTACGGCGGCTCTACGGCAGTATGTGAAGGAAGGCCGGCGACCTATTATCTCCTCCGCCGATTCATCCGGCTTCGATCTCCATTATTCTCAGTTTAGCTTAGAAAGTAATGATTCTTTCACTTTTCTGTTTTTAATTACAGCCGTTGGATTGTCAATTTGTCTCTGAGCCGCTTGATTTCTGATTTGTTTCAACGAAAATGTCAACCAAAAATTATTGAAAATGAATGTTGTTTGTGAAGTTTTTTTAATCAAATGAAGAGTAATATAAATTAAAATAAATAAATAAATTAAGAGGTACTAATTAATTGAGTGGTGTGGACAGGTTTGGATGGGAAGGAGAAGCTTATGTCGTTGGGGTCAAGGAATTTCTTTCTGTGCCCAAAGATGATGAAGGCAGCAGCGTCCCCAGAAAGTGGCAGCGCCGCCGTGACCATGGCGGCCTCTTCCAGCTGTTCAAAGGAAGCTGATGATGAGGCTATCAAGAAATGGTTGCCTTGGCTCAAATTCTGAGCCATGGATTTTTAAGTGAATTGTCGTCTCACTTTCTGCTAGTCATTCTTTGCACAATTTGTAGTTTATAAAATTAGGTTAAGATCTAAGGATATGTAAATTATTAGACGTGTAAGGTGTCCTTTGAATGCGCCTAAGTATTAGCATATTTTTCGGAAATGAAGTCCCAAATGGCCATGTATGTCCAAAATTCGTGTACATTTTGGAATTGGACCAACCATGACAATTTCCTAGTGTGTCACGTGCAAGGAAAATACCTCCTTTCTTTGAATCAATTATAAAGTATAATAGCCATATTTTTCGCCAGAGTTCTTGACCAAATATGGCTCGTTAGTTTTCGTTATTTTCAACAGGGACAAAAGAAAAAAGGAAGAAGAAGAAGAAGGTGGGTAACAATGGGTTCGATGTTACTTCGACATTGAAACAACGTTGGTGACAATGAGTTCAATGTTACGTCAATTTTTCTTGATTTGTTTGACGATTTCAATTGGTAATTAATTTTTTCATGATTTGATAATTTTAATTAGTCGTGATAATTATCTTGGAAGGCCGCTTAAAAAATTTATCTTCATTTTAACATTATCTGTATGTTTCGAGAGTGAGGGGGACAACAAAGAATATTTATATTTTGTTGAGGAAAATTTCTTGTGTGATGAGAGGAATCTATGTATGACACATAGTTATCTCTAAAGATAAGATCCTATAAAAAAGACTTACAAAAGATAATATATATTTTGTTACGGAATTGATGTACTAAACATCGATGTTTAGCTTATTAAGCTTATAAGGTGACGTGTCAGACTACAATAGATGATGTAATTGATTTTAAAACCAATCATTATCTCTTACAACTTATTGTGGTGTGTCATATTACTAGAGTGCATAGCACAAGCTAAGCAACGATGATTAAGAGACGAGTCCTATGTTTCGTTAATGACAAAAAAAATTTAAATTATTTTCTTATGCCTCTATTTGGGTACTTTGGTTGAAAATAGAATAGACAAAAGTTATCAGATTTAGGATCGACTGATTCTAGTTCTAATCGATTGTGGTTATTAAAATTGAAACATGTCGGTTCCCGTTCGATTCTCAATTCTTTTTATTTACAAATGGCTAGTGCAACGTATCAAACTGAATATGAACCAAACGACTTGATTTGAGTTCGGGACATAAAACAATTCAAGTAGACCACGCATGTCAAAACTCTAGGTTGGTTCCTTGTAAAATTCGTAGGTCACATCTATGGGTGGCTAATTATTTAAGACCAACCAATAATTTGATAAATCTTACTTGGAAATTTCTTGACTTAAGAAGCGACTTTGTGATGCAAGAGGACACACTTAATTTAACATTATTGTAGTAGGATTTTTATTAAAGTGTATATATANAATAAAATTTAACTAGATTTTTAAAACAAAAACGAACTCTATCTAGAATATATAAATATATATTCTAGATAGAGTTCGTTTTTGTTTTAAAAATCTAGTTAAATTTTATTCATTTTCTTTCGAAATATTTTGAATTGGTAAATTCATTTTCCTTGTATTCTCATTAGCTAGAGGGCAAGTTGTACGTCGATCCCTCTTCTTGAATTTCTTAAATACATTAAGTTTTTAAAATATAATTGTTCAATGTCGTATCACGACTTTATTTTCTCATTTCTAACGAAATTATTCGGTCTCTACTACCTGATAAAAGAAAGAAAAGATATATGCAACGAGTCTTGTTTGGTCGGCAATTATGCGAAAATATCCCCTTAGCCAATCTTATGTGTCCCTTCGTCATTTGTATGTATCAAAATTAATTCCATTTTGCATTCTCTATCCATACTCTTCAAGAATATTTCAAAGTGAAATTTGATTATTTTTTGATACGTAGACGCCGTGTCTTACTATATTTGTAAATTCAACATATTAATTAGGCAAAATGAGTTGGAGACTGTATCCAGTGGCGTGTTGGACTGCAACTCGACGCTTGGATTCAAGAAACTACCACGATTCTCCAACTTGACGATGTTTATATTCATTTGTAAACTAATATAAATAGTTGAGAGATAAATTCAAGATTTTATGTATCGTCGATACGAAATTTTTGTTTACACATTTTATTGCTTTACAACTTTGAGCGTCACTAAGGATGTGTTTGATAACATGGATTTTCCATGTAAAATGGAATTCAAATTCCATTTTACATATTTGGTGTTCTTTGATGTCCAAACTTTTTCCACCCAATTGTGGAAAAAGTTTTCCCTCCACGCACCATTTTCTAGGCGTGGAGGGAAATGATTTCCCCACCTTTTTTAGGTGGGAAAATCGAATTCTGACTTTTTATATTTTTTTAATTTTTTTATAATAGAAACAAATTTCATAATCAATTGTAAAAAAAAATTCACTTTAATGGACAATTTTCATGTAAAACAAAATTAAACGAACACTAAACTTTGATAAAAAAATGATTTTTTAGGAAATTTTATTTTTTTTAACTTTTTGGTAATGGAAACAAATTTTATAACTAATTATGGAAAAAATTATCACTTTAATGGACAATTTTCATGTAAAACAAAACCAAACGAACACAAAAAGATCCAAAATTTTAAAATTTTTCGGGTGAAAAATTATACCAATCAAACACTTAATTAACAATTCCATAGAAAGCAAGTTTTAGACAATTATTTTCTTTGAAATTCATTTTCTTTCCACCAATTTTCCACCCTTACAATCAGACCGACCCTAATTTTCGCAAAACGTGCCTTAAAGATAGTTTTGCAAGTTAAAAATTGATAACTCTTAAGAGATTCATATCGATGATATACTTAAATTATGACTTGTCATAGACATTTTGAGGGGTTTCGATATTAAATGTAATTTTTATAAAATCGTTGTTAATATGTAATGGCACTTTTTAAAATTGTGGAATTTCATATTTCTCTGCGTACTTAGTTTTTACAATACAAATGTTCGAGCTACCATCGAAGTACAACTTTTTATTAAACTTAAAAATTATTTAGAAGTAAATAATTAAAATTTAAAATAAATAAATATTTTATTGATCAATTAAAATTAAGTAACTTATTTTGATAGTAAAACAAAATTTATTTATTAACATGTTTTAAGAAAAAAACAATAGTACAATTAATTTAGTACACATATCTTCTATTGACCTAATCTTTTCATTTTGATACTTGCCCAACTACCTACAAATATGTGACATCACTTCGTTTTTTCTAATTTTATTTCGTTGTTCTAGTTAAATAATTGTTCCAAAAAAAAAAAAATAATAACTAAAAGATTTGTGCTTATAAATTTCTCTATGTAGTGGTCCGTGCACCTTCTCGTCATGGACTTCTTGCATTACTAGGTGTCCCTCAGCCTCATTGATCGTCCCAAGATGATCTCATCACTTTGGAAGTTAGCCCCGGATGGCTTGATCGACTACATCCAATAAACAAGAAGTGAACGAGGTGGGACATATTCTAACCACCAACCAACCATGATTTTCGAGGATGACAATGTATGTCGGTTAGTAATTCTTTAAATCGATTGATAGAATATGACGAGTATGATGATTTTTTTGTTGCATAGAACCTCAGCCCGTTAAATTTTTTTATGTTTACATATTAGTCCAACTTAAAAAATAATTTAAGTACAATCCTGGATCCACCCTTGTTGACAAGTATTGAGTTTAGCATTTAAACTAACGAGGCGTGAGCTAAATGCAAAACCAACCTCAATCATTTTCAAATTTCATAACCAAATTTGGATTCAGTTAAGAATTTTTTTTTTTTTGGATCGGTAAATGAAAATTACTATAGAACAAAATTGTACAAGTACACTGGGTATATCCGAGTAAAACAAAATCAAGTGACTCATACAACTACTCCAGACATACCTAGACAACAAAAGAAATATGTACAAACGATATGATCTAAAGATCCATTGCAAAAGACTAAAATTGAATCAAAACAATTGAATACAAAGAAAATGTAACTTGTATAGTGTGTTTTGATTCATCTAATAATGCTATCCACGTGTGGTCTTATGTCCTAAAAAAATCTCCTATTTCTTGCATCCAAATATGGTAGACGACTGTCGCCAATGCAATCTTCTTAACCTTACTTTGTCAAGAAGTCCTTCTAGCCTCCTTCTTGATCCACGTCAATGTATTAGCAATGGTAGTCATTGCTCTTCTAATGTCCAACCATACCTTAATATGCTTCAAAACTAGCGAGGAAAAAGGGCATTGGAAGAATAAGTGTTGGCATGTTTCTTCTTGTGAACCACAAAAAACACAAGTGCCATCTATGTTGAGATGCGGCAGCTGGTCCTCAGTAAGCAATCTGGATTGCGCTCCCAACCAAAGGATGAAATAGTGTTTAGGAATAATGTATGGTCTCCAGACTTCAATCATCCATGCCGCTTAATCCCAGCCTACCCGAGAAATCGTAAGCCCCGTCCATGCAAAAGCAGCCAGTTTTTGTCCATTCCAGAGTGCGTTTGCTGCAGCCTGTGCGTTGCGTTCGAGTCCAATGAGCCTGTCTCTGATTTCCAGCAACCTCTTGATCAGAGGCGAGTCCCCTTTGTGGGTTGTTCGCTCCCAGAAATCTGTCCTATTTAAGTACACATTGTTAATCCACTTGACCCAAAGCGAGTCCTTCTTTCTATGAATATTCCAAAGTGACTTTGACAGTAGTGCTGAATTCCAGCATTTCAAATTTCTGAATCCAAGTCCTTCCTCGTCTTTTGGTAAGCCAATGTCGTTCCAAGCAACCAATGGTTTCTTAGACTCACAAAGGAAATTATGACAAAGGCTTCTGACCCTTGAAATTACTGTAGCTGGGATAGGGAGGGTAGATAGCAAAAAACATTCAACACCAAGTTTTGCTTTCCCCGCATAGGACAAAGGTGCTCTAGATCAAGCACAAATGTAGGCCGAAATTTTGTTGAGAAATGTATCATAAGAGATGATTTTAAGCTTTATCGCTGCTAAAGGAATATCCAAGT